GTGTGTGTGTGTGTGTGTGTGTGTGTGTGTCTGTCTGTCTGTCTCTCTCTGTGTCTGTCTCTCTCTGTCTCTCTCTGTCTCCCTCTCTCTGTCTCTCTCTCTCTCTCTCTCTCTCTCTCTCTCTCTCTCCAGCACACAAGAACAAGTTGAGAAATAGCAGAGATAGATGAAGAAGGAGACCTTCTCAGTTAATCCCCTGGTAACCAGGGCAATCAATTCTGGCAGGCCTGCACGCGGCACAGTATGTTCAGACTCTTGATGCATAATGGGACACTGGACCCGGTTTCCTGCAGGTGCAGCTCCCCACCAATAGACCGTAGCATCCAGGAAGCCCGCTAGGGGGTGTGCTCTTATCGCCTCTCCTAGCGATGGGATTGTTTTTTTGAAAAAAAGAAAAGAAGAAGACGAAGCAGATGGGCCACTGCCTGCGGCTACCAAAGGTCGCACTGGGCCGGTCGTTCCAGCTGTCCTACAAACCAGACTGACCAGCGCACTGGTGCATGCTGTCCTACAAAGCAGACTGACCAGCGCACTGGTGCATGCTGTCCTACAAAGCAGACTGACCAGCGCACTGGTGCATGCTGTCCTACAAAGCTGTACCAGACCATGGTCTGATAGGCTGTACCGGAGCATGACCTGGTCAAGCCAACGGAACCGGAGAGGCATCTGGTCGGTCCGTTGCATGCAGAGCTTTTCCACCTACAAGCTCAGAAGGCTGGCACAAAGCTGCCCCCTCCTAAAGCCTGAGCTGCATAACACAGCTGTGTTCATGCTGCTAAAAACCGCAGCTGAAACTTCAAATGGGCCAGCTTTGTGCCAGCCTTCTGAGATTGCAGGTGGAAAAGGTCTGCATGCAACGGACCCGCCAAAACAAAGCTGCCCCTTCTGCACCAGCCTGCCTTACCATTTTATTTTTTTTGGGACCATTTGGCATTTGGTCCATTTCTCGATTTTTTAATTTTTTTTTTGGATCATTTCTCGATTGATGCGTGTGATTCTTCTGCAGTGGCCATGCGAATCCTCTCTTTCTCTGTAATAGTCTGTATTGTTCCCATTTTAACGGATGTCCCGAAGGACAATAAAAAGTTACCAAGGATGATTTGGTAACTTTTTCTTACTGTCCCCGGCTGTTTTAGTCCCCGGGCGGCCCGGCTGGGGGAAGGTCGCCCGGGTACCCTCCCGGGCGGCCCTGACAGGGCAGGACCCGGGCAGGGTCCCGGGCGATCCCAGCACATATAATATTCTAAAAAATAGGGGGAAAAAAAAAAAAAATCCGAAAAAAAAAAATGCTGTGCAAAATTGCAATACAAACGACTTTTGGCTGAGGGCCACCTCGAAATTCCTTGTTAATTTCAAGATAAAAAATTAAAAATAAATGAGAAAACACGAGTCCCAAAAGACTCCAAATGTACCCTTTTAAGCCCTTCAGTCACTGTTTATACCCCCCACCCCCCCCTGGATGACCCATCACCAAAACCGAAGTTAAGACCGGATTCTGACTGCTTGGGCCAAGCGCAGTCCTGGCCTGAAGTCTTTTTTTATTTTTTGGGATCCTTGCCTCTTTTTTGACCCGTCTGGTTTTGCCGGGCGACCCCCCCTCTGCAAACTGGCCCGGGCTTGCCTGGCCGGGCAACGGCCCAACATAGGTCCCCGGCGCAATAAAAATCCCCCGGCACAATAAAAATGATACTTCCTTGATCTCACAACATACGTCCCAAAGGATGATTTTTAATGTGGACGATTCATTTTGTCTTGTCTACCATATCTTGCGAGAGCAAGGAAGTATGATTTTTTCAATTTTTTTGCGGTTTTCGGAAGATTCAGAGACTTGGTGTTTGGCGAGCACGATCAATTACAACGTACCTGGTCATTGTTGAAGACAAAAGTTAGGTCACTACGCTAAATTTCACGAAATCGGAAATACACACAGTGCGAACGACAATATTTACTTACACACAGTTTACAGAGACGAAAAGTTACAGAGATGAAAAGTTACGGAGACGAAA